GATCGTGCCGCGAGAAAGGGGAGCAGGGCAAAATCTCAGTTGGCCAGGTGGTGCTATGCGATATTATTATCCTGGTTAGTTGGCATCTCTGTAGCCTCGATCATCCGCCGATGGCGGGGCCGCGCGGGAAGAGTGGGCATTACGGGCGTCCACGGTGGGGGGACACAGCCCAGGGAGGGGGCGGGGGCGGGGAATTCTCTTCATGATGGAAGATGCTTGCGGTTAGCAGCATTATTCCATCAGTTTGGGTCGGTTCTGCGGGGTTGTGTACCACATGGGTTGGTTCTCTGGGGCTCCCTTCGCGGTTTTCGCCTGGGAGAAGATACACAGACACAAGTAATCGTCGATTCCCAGAACATATAGGAAGATATGGGAAGTGGGGGGGAAGACAAGAACCCAGAAGATATGGGAAAATATGGCGAACCCGGTGATTTGTCTATACCTACTTGTGTGCCCCGGGGCCCCTGCACTCCGGCCTAACCCCATCCTGCGGTGGACGCCCGAGCATCGCCTGCGCGGTTGGCTCGGCAGCCGCCGCGTGCCTCCTGGCGGTCAAGCGCCTGAGGCTCAAGCGCGTGACCCTCGAGACCGTCATGTTCGGCCTGTTCGAAGGGCAGACTGCAGTTCTCTTCGCAGGGGAGCGAACAATGACATGAACATAGAAACTCGGAGGCCGCGCGGATTTCTCGGATCGGCGCTTGACCCCCCTGGCGGCGCTTCCGGCGCCGCCCCTGGCGCGCTCCGCACGCCAGGGAGGGGTGTCCAGCGCCGATCCGAGAAGTCCGCGCGGACTTCCGAGTTGTTATGTTTATGTCAATATTCGTTCCCTTACTTCACGCGGCTTCCAGAGGCCATCGAAGCGCTCCGAAAAAAACTTGACGATTCGGATCTCGAGCCTGCGTCATCTGAGTCAGACGCAGGTAAGATCGCAGATATCCGACGCCTCATCGATCTGTCTTGCAGCGATCGCAAACCTTACTGTGAAGCTCGTGCTGTCATTGGTGAAAGTACCGCTGTCCATGAAGCATCGGCTTCAGAATTACACGATGGAGCCCGACTCCTCGCCTTTGCTGAGGCACCTTATGAGTCTCCAGAACTCGTTCGCCAATTCTGTCAGGAGCGCGGCTACGAGATGCTTCAGTTACAAGAGGACTCAGACCCAGGAGCGCCCGCATACTTCCTCTGCTTCAATCACTCCACGAAGCAGGCAATTTTGTCAGTGCGTGGCACGAAGACGCCAGCGGATGCCCTCACAGACCTTGTTGCCAACGTCCAAGAGCAAGAAGAAGAGGACGGGCGGAAGCTGTTTGCGCACGCGGGGTTCTTCACCGCCGCCAGGTCCATCGCCGCAAAAGCGACGCCGGCCATACGGCGACTGCTGGCCCCCATGCAGTACTCCCTCGTCGTCACGGGGCACAGCCTCGGGGCCAGCACGGCGGCGCTCGTGACCCTGCTGCTGAGGCACAGAGCGCAGGCCTGGAGCAGCGACCTTGCGCTCCGCTGCGTGTGCTTCGCGCCGTGCCCGTGCCTGGATCTCGCGAACGCTCAGCTCTGCCGCGAGGGCGCCGCACCTCTGGCTGCGCCGCTCGTCACAAGCTTCGTGTGCAACGACGACGCGGTCGCGCGGGTGAGCATGCAGAATTTGGGCCGGCTTGCGATGCTCGCAAAAGGTGCCACAGTCGATGACGTGATTGAGGTTGCTGCGACGAAGGAGTATCGTGCGACCAAGGACAGCGAGATTGACCTCTTGATTCCTGGGAAAATTGTGATGTTGCACAGACTGTCTGCTGCAGAGAGCGAGGCATCCTCTGAAACAGCCATCGTCGAGGAAAGCACAAAGACAAAAAAGCAAGTGACTTCGCGAGCGCCCGGCGAGTGGGAAGCTTGGGCTGGAGATTGTTTGTCTTTCCCTGAGCTGGGTTACTTGGAGCTGTCTCCTAGTAGCATTGCAGATCATATGGCACCAGTGTACCGCGAAGCCATCACTGTTGCAGCTGTTGCACAGGGTGCCATGGTCGAGGCACCTCCGAGGGCCGCTGAGACGTTTCCTGATTGGCTCAAGCGCGCTGCGTTACAACAGAAGCACCAGCAGCTTTGAGCCACATATTTAGAAGCTAGAGACAGATGGACTGCTCCAACAAAGTTGGAAGTGTCGTCGATGTTCAAGACCTCCCATGGCATCACCATCCTCCTCCTGATTATCAGTGTCCCTGTCATTGTCATCACCATCCTCCTTCCTCTTTTCATTGCCCTTCTTCTTCAGCAACATAAAAGTCCAGAGAGGCTGGGTCACCCGAGCACGCATGCGCCTTACAACAACTTGTCCGTCGGATACGGCAGCGTTGATGACTGAGATGATGATAATGGTGATGATGATGATGATGGTGGTGGTGATGATAGTGGCGATGATAGTGGTGATGATGGTGAGGATGGTGGTGGTGGTGGTGACAGTGACGATGGTGATGATAATGAGGAGGGCACTGTTGGTGATGATGATGATGATGATGATGATGATGATGATGATGATGATGATGATGATGATGATGATGATGATGATGATGGTCTTTTCTATCGAAGTTGAATGCCTTTCGAGGGGGGGGAGAGGCCGAAAGTTTGCTTTCCGTAGCCTTCGGCTCACGAGCTGAGCGCCGCGGCGGTCCGCGGCGAGTGCCCTGGCTGGGCCTCCCAGAGGGCTTGCTGGGAGTTCTGGACCGCTGGGGGGTGCCCGCGCTGCAGGCCTGGGGCGCGCTGCCCGGCGACCGACATTCCGCCCTGCCTCGCGTGCCCGGCCTGCCCGCCGTGCCATGGGGCAACCGTGGGCGCCACCGCGAGCGCGGTGGCCTTCGCCTGCGATCGCGGCGCTGCGCCTGTGGGGGCCGCTCCGTTTTTCGGCCGAGTCGCAGGGCAAGGGCACGGCGCCGGCTGGAGGGGCTCCCTCGCGCCTGGCGCTGGCGGCTGCCGCTAATGGCGGAGGCGTGGGCCTGGGTGCTGTACAACGTGGCAGGCGCGCCGCTCTTCCACCAGAGGAGGGTGGTGGGGCAAGTGGCGCTCACGGATGACGTCATCATCGTCACGCACATGGTCTACGCGGAGCGGCTGCTGGCCGCTGGGCCCGACATTGCCGCGGTGCGCTTCTCGGCGGCGAGGTTGCCGCCCCCGCCTGGGTTCGCTCCCGAGTCGACCTACAGGTTCGGGAGGGCGCGCTCGGCGGCGCGCGAGGCTGCCTGGCTCGCCGCGGCCACCGCCGAAGCGGACGCCGAGTTTGCGCGGTGCTACCCTGGGGTTCCGCTGCCTGCGGGTGGTGCGCTCCTCCCGCTGAGCGGTGGGCTGCTGCCTGGAGCGCCCGCGCCCGCGGCGGCGGTGCCAGCCGCCGTGCCGGCTGCTGGGGGGCCTGCAGCGGGGGCTTTGGTGGCCGGTGCGCCGCCGCCTGCCGCCGGCGCGGCCGCCGTCGTACCGCTGGGCGCCCCCCCAGCCGCGGCCCCGCCGCCCGCGCCTGCCGCTGGGGCCCCCATCGCGGCGGGGGCTCCTCCCGCCGTGGGCGCGCCTCCCGGGCCTGGCTGGAAGGACGACGGAGGGCCGCCTCTCGGCCCCAACGGGGAGGCGCCCGCGGGCTGGGCGTGGGTGGTGGCAGAGGACGTCGAGTCGTTCAGCTTCGGGACGGCGGTGCAGGTCGGCCCGATCTCTGGCATCGCGCTGGCGGCAAGGGTTGGCAGGCGTGGCATCGTCACGCTGGGCGCTGGCGCGTCGGCGGTGGCCTTCACCCTCGAGGACTGGAGGCGGGCCGACTTCACCTCGAAGTGGCGCGGGTCCGATCCTCGGACGACGGCTCGGCCCCCTGGCAGCGCGGGCCCGCGCAGCTGGCTCGCCGTCACCGGGTCCGCGAGGGAGGTGGTGGATCCGCTCTTCGCGCTGCAGCCGCGCTCGGCCGCCTGGTGCGTGTCTTGGCTTCTGCGCGAGGGAGGGCCGATCCAGCGTCGCGAGAGTTGGAAGGCTCGGAAGCGGCTCAGCACCTCGGACTACGGTGTCGCGAAGCACCACGCGTTGAGCACGGTGCTGGAGGACCTCGCGACGGTCGAGGAGGTGAACGCGTCGAACCTCATGGGTGTCGAGCGCCCCCTGCGGAAGATGCAGCTCATCGAGCACTTCTGGGAGGAGAAGCAGCGCGAGCAGGACGCCTCGCAGCAGAAGCGGCCGCAAGAGGAGATCAGCGCCGTCATGGGCGGGGCAGGGCCCTCCAGCCGCCCGAGCAGCATGGTCCGCCCTGCGCTTCTCCACGCTGTGGGCAAGGAGCTCGAGCGCGTCAGTCAGTTGAAGAAGAATGCTCGCAAGCTTCGAGAAGAAGCGAAGGCCGCCCCCGGGGCCAAGGCCGGAGGCGCGAAGTCATGATGACATGTTGCCTGGGGGGCGCGCTGGCGCAGCCTCTCCAGGCGCTGCGGGAACTGGGTCTACCTCGGCGGATGCTTGCGCTGCTGAGGGTGTTCATAGCAGGCGCGGCGGCGCGGGCGCGGAGCGGCAGCGGGACATCTTTCCGCTGCCCGCGCCTGCTGCCGCTGACCCTGGCGGACTGGCTGCTGGGCGGGGCTCGCGCTGCACGCGGGGGCAGGCGCGCCGCGCCGCTTCCGCGCCGTGGCTCACCAGGCAGGCGGCGGGGTCGTTCAACGGCCTCAGCGGCGCTGGGGGGGAGGGCTGCGCACTGCCGCTTGGCGACGCGACGCTGGCGCAGCGGCGCTGTCTGGCACGCGTCGCGGACGCCGTCTCGCAGCTGGGCCCCCCGCCGGGCGACCTCCAGCCTTTGGCGGCCCTGCAGGAGCTCCAGGCTGCTCTGTGCTACGATGGCGCGCTGTCGACCAGGGCGGAGGCGATGGGCGCTCTCGCTGCCGCCTCCAGGTAACTGCCCTGTCTCGGCGGAGCGGCTTCTGGAGCCCGAGGTCTTCGGATAAGGTCTGCCAAAGACCGAAGTTTTGCAGTTGAAGAGGGGCGCTGGCTTCGGGGAGCCCTACATGGGTCCGATTCTTCGGAGCCGCCGTCGCTACGCCGCGCCGGTGCATCGCGCGCTGGGGGCCGGCGCGATCGATCTCGCCAGCGACCCCAGCGAGGTGATGGACGAGGTGGGTCTCTTCAGCGTGCCCAAGAAGAGTAGGCGGCAGCGGCTCGTCGTGGGCGCGCGGCCCGCCAACTTCTGGTTCGGCGACCCCGCGGACGTGCATCTGGCCACGGGCGCGGCGCCGGCGGCGATCGAGCTGCCCGATGGCGCGAGCTTGTGGGCGGCCTCTGCAGACATCGCGGACGCCTTCTACAACATGGAGCTTCCGCACGCTCGGCGGCCTTACTTCGCGCTCCCGCCGATAGACGCGTGAAGGCTGGGGCGGGGGGCTGACCGCGGGCAGCGGCAGCCCTGGCTGCTGTGGCCGCGTCTTGCGGTGTTGCCCATGGGTTGGGCCCGCGCGCTGGCCGTCTGTCAGCGGGCGTCGGGGTCGGCTGCTGATCGGGCGGGGCCGGCGACGGCGACGAGGTGGTGGGCCGCCAGATCTGTCCGAGGGCCGAGCTTGGCTGGCGGCGCTCACCTCGAGCACGTCGACACCTTCGCTTCGCTCTCGCTGGATCGCGACACCACCGAGCAGATGAAGAACGACATGGTCGCGACGCTGCGCGAGAGCGGGCTCCCCGTTCACGAGGAGGAGAGCGCGGCCTTGCACGCGCAGCTGCTGGGCTGGGTTATCGATGGCGAGCGCGGGTCAGTGTCTCCGACCCCGCGCAGGGTGCGACGCCTGATCCTCGCCGCGCGGGCCCCCCTGGACATGCCGACGGTCTCGGCGCAGCAGGCGAGGCAGGTGGTCGGGCACTGCGCGTTCGTTTTCTATGGTCAGGAGGCCGCTGCTGTCCATCTTCTCTGCCGTGTACCGCTTCATCGCCAAGGCGGGCGAGGCGCCGCGGCAGTGGTGGCCCAGCGCGCGGCGGGAGCTAGCGCGGGCCACGGGCGTCGCGCCGCTGGCCTTGGCGGACCTGCGCGCCGAGTGGCCAGGGCGAGTCATGCCCGCGGACGCCTCCGAGTGGGGCCGAGGGGTGCGTGAGCGAGAGTTGGATGCAAGCATTGTCCAGAAGCTTGGTCGCTTTCAGGAACGCTGGCGCTTCCGCGGCCTCAACGCGAAGGCCCCTCGGGAGCAGCTCGCGTTGCCCTTGGAGCCCAGCGAGAGCCTCATCGACGCCGAGTCGCCGTCGAGGCCGAACGACCTCGGTAGCTCGCAGGGCCCCGCGGAGCCCTTCGACATCGTGAAGATTCGACAGCTCGATCGACGCGAATCGGAAACCTCGTCAACGTGATGCCCTCGAAATTCCAGCGACTGATCACTTGCAGCCTATGGGGTTCGAGCCTTCTGGAGGTGGAGTGCGTCTCGGGTGATTGGGTCGTCATCTCTAGTGGGCCTCGGGGGCGAGAGGGGCGCGCCGCTGCCTGAGAGGAGGGGGGGGGCCTGATACACTCCCTGAAACATGTACTTCGAGATGCGAAACAGCATGGCCATCGTGTTCTCTTTCTCTCGGATAGCCTCGTCGCCGTCCTGGCTCTCTCGAAAAGCGCCGCTCCTCGCGGCCAAGGGTGGCCCGCATCTGGCGCCAGTGGGCCGCCCTTGCCGTTGCGGGCGGCATCGGCGCGGCGCTGCGCTGGGCGCCGTCGGAGCCGAACCCGGCGGACCTGCCGTCGCGCCGGCCTCTTCGGATAGGGGCGCGGCTCCAGTGGGATGCAGTCGCCGGTCTGGCCGCCGCGCAGGAGCCCCGCTCTCCCGGCGGCGCCTGCGCGAGGCGCTACCCCGCAGCCTCGGCCGCCGCCGGCGGCCCCCACTTCGGCGAGGCCGACACGGAGCCGCCACGCCGTGGGCCCTCCCCTGAAGGTGAAGGCAGCCGAGGCAGCGGCCAGGCGCGCGGGCCGGGCGGCGGCGAGAGCGCCCGAGGCCGCTTCCCTGCGGGCCTCTGCGGGCCACGTGCTGAGAGCCCTCTCGGCGACAGTCGCCACGAGGACGACGAACCGAGACGGTCGACGACCTGCTGGCACAGTGGATGGACCAGCAGTATGCCGAAGGCTGGAACCCCGAGCGGGGCGCGCACGTGCTGGCGGCGCTGAAGTTCATGATGCCGCAGTTCGCTCGCGGGAGGCTGGGGCTGCGGCTGGAGGAGACGGGTGCCTGCGCGTGCCCGGCCCCCGCTGTCCTGGGGGGTCGTGGCCCTCGTCGCGGCGAGGCTGATCGACGTGGGCCAGACGCGCGCGGCGATCTACGTGCTGGTGACCTTCGCGGGCTACCTGCGCCCGCCCGAGGCTCTCAGGGCGCTGGGGCTACACCTGATCCCGCCAACGCCTGGCGGAGCCTGCGAGAGCTGTTCGCTGGTCCTTCACCCGCGGGAGTTGGCGATGCCGAGCAAGACTCAGGTCTGCGACGAGGCGATCCCCTTCGACGCGCCGTTCTACGGGTTCCTGCCAGCAGCTCTGCGGTGGCTGAAGGCCTCGACGCACACGAGCGCGCCGCTCTTCCCCTTCACCTTGGTGCAGGTCAGCGCCTTCTTCAAGCAGGCGGCGGTCGACGCTGGCCTGGAGGTGCTGACCCCGCAGCTGCGCCAGCTCAGGCACTCGGGCCCGTCCGTCGAGCTGGCCCTCAAGCTGCGGGCCCTGGCCAGCGCGAAGCTGCGAGGGCGCTGGAGGTCCGACGCCTCGGTCGCCAGGTACCTCGAGCCAGGCCGCGTGAACGAGCAGATGCAGAGGGTGCATCCTGCGGTGCGGCGCGCGGCCCTGCTGGCCCCCGCTCGGCTGGGCCCCCTCCTCAGCTGGCGCCGAGGAAGCTGCTGGGCCCTCGCCGCCGGCACTTCCTGGCGCATCCTGTCATCGTGGAGGCGTTCCCGGGCGAAGGGATCTTGGCGGCCGCTCTGCGGCGCGAGGGCGCATTAGTGATCGAGTGGGACATCGCCTGGGAGCCTGACTGGGACCTCGCCGTTCCCGGGGTGGCGAGAGTGCTCCGAGGGCGGCTGGATGCTGGTCTGATCTGGGACATGCACTTTGGCGCCCCGCGCCAGACCTGGACGAGGATCAGTGGCGCGGGGCCGCTGAGATCCCCAGGTGAAGCGGGGCCGTGGCCGAGTCGCCTGAGGTCTGACACGGAGATTTGGGGCCTGGCCGCAGTGGCGCACCCCGTAGACAGGGTTCAGATTGATATGGCCAACAAGCTTGTAGTTGTAGGCGCATGCAGATCTCTTTCACGTTTGAGAATCCAGCTACGTCGCGTCTCTGGCTCGCTCCATCGCCCCAGCGTCTTCGGAAGCAGCCACGCGTTTTTTGGGCAGTCACGCACAACTGTCAGGACGGAACCCCTTGGAAGAAGCCGACAGGGCTTGTGGGGCCCCGCGTAGATGTCCCAGCGTTCGCCGGCCAGTGCTCGGGCTCGCGAACTTGTCGTAGCAGAAAAGGCAAGCCACATCAGAGTTTAAAAGGACGTGCTCCGGGGAGGCCCTTGTGGATTTTGGCGGCGCAACCTTATCCCAAGCCACTTGCGGCCCGCTGGGCCCGCAGTTTCGTCGACGCGCGTCTGCAGTCTGAAACTCTGTCAGCTTCGCTTGCCTGGTTAGGTTGCTAACCCAAGATGAGTGTCCCTCCGGAGTGTTCGGGGTGGTTTGGCCGAGGGGCCAATCGGCGGCTCGGATTTCAGATAATGTTTTCCCCGCTGCCGCGGCCCCCAGTCGCACGCGGCGCTGCCTTTTCGCTTCGAACGCATTCCGAGACTGGCCTCGGAGAAACCATCGTGGGCATGGTCTTTCTTATTGAAGTTGAATGCCTTTCGAGGGGGGGGGAGAGGCCGAAAGCTTGCTTTCCGCAGCCTTCGGCTCACGAGCTCCCACCCTCCCATCCCTGACTTCAGCTGCACTGCTTCGCCGTGGCCGAGGGGCCATTCGGCAGCTCGGATTTAAGATGATGTTTTCTCCGCTGCCGTGGCCCCCAGTCGCACGCGGCGCTGCCTTTTCGCTTCGAACGCATTCCGAGACTGGCCTCGGAGAAACCATCGTGTGGGCATGATGATGATGATGACGATGATGATGATGCTGATGATGATGATGATGAGGAGGAGGAGGATGGGCTGTGATGACGACGGCGATGACGATGACGATGACGATGATGCAACAGTGAGCCCAAGCACGGATTGGAGAAGCTCCTAATGGTGTCCCCAAAGGGTGTCCCTAGATAGTTTCAAAATGACCCCAACATGAGATTCCTGGTGCCTGTTTTGTTGTGTGTTCCAGGCTCTGGGGCAGGCCTGATGTCGTCGGAGCGTGCGGCGGCAGACCCGGAATGTTTTCTGGACCCTCCACGTCTTGCCAAGGTGGGCCAGGAAGGCCCCAGAGGCTGTTCAATGCGTTCCCTTGGCATCGCTCGGACGTGTGCGTTTCTTCTTCGGCTAGGACCATCGAGGAACATCCTGGGCCACCTTGCGAACAAATGCGCGCACGAAACCGAAGAATGCGCGGGGAATGGACGTCCGAGCGATAGCGAGTTCCTGACGGCCCCAAAGTGCAGGAGACAGCAGCACGAATGCTCCAGGAAGACCCCCGACCTCTCTAAATGAATGAACAGCTGAAGGGATGTTTCAGGTCTTCGTCGTTTCCTAGAATTCCCAGTTTTCGGTCGAGGGGAACTCGAAGAAGGCTTCGGAGAAGCCGATGAGGCGTTTCATCAAGCCGCCAGAGGGACTCCTGTCGTGGCAGGTCGCGAGATGCAGTTCGAATGCACCAAGAGAGCCCTGGTGGGCGTGGTCTTGTTGCTTTCATTCTGCGTCGTTCTGCAATGTTTGAATCGGAATGGATCTGCTTTGCGCGTCACGCATCAGAGTTGCCCCACTCCGCATTGCGACGCATTGCGTTGGTTTGGCCTCCCTTGCGCCGCCGTTGCATCTGCTTCCACGGCACTGCGTTGCGTTGCACTGCCACGGCAGTGCGTCACGTTCGGTGATCTGCGTCGCTTCGCACCCGAGAGCTCGTCCGATGGGCTTGCCGTGCCGCTTCTCCCGAGGTCCCCCCTTCGTGTGCACGGTGCGGGCGCGCGCTCGGCCAGCAGAGAAGCCGTGGGGCATTGCACACTGTCCATGCCTAATTCTTCGAAGGTCCTTTGATTTTTGTTGGGGGCCAAGATCCCTTCATTTCTACTTGTCCCATCTGGGCCTCTTCCTGGCCACTAAGGGGGCCAGGAACAATTTTGAAGCGAGCACAACTAGAAATGAGCACGACCAGACATGAACGGCGTGTGCACTCGCGGATCGGTATGGCCACCCGGCGTGCCCCTAAATTCTCACCAAGTACAGTCGGGGCCCTGAAGAAGGAACCCTTTTCGTTGGGGAGGGGTTCCGCGTTCCTGGATTGTTTCACAGCTTGCCTCAGGCTTTCCTTATGTTTTCGATGGCAAATCGAAGTTTAACTTGTGGAACAAAAAGGACCTCGTTCCTTATTTTGGGTTCCTTAGGTCAACGCCCCGACTGTACCGTGCACAGGCGCCTGCCAGCGCTGCTCGTGCCTCCCAGTTCGAATGGTCGGGAGGAGTCCCACCGCGATTTGGAAGTGGACGCTCAGTTCCGCCCTCTAGGGCGCGGATGCGGGCCGAAGCTGCGCTACAAAATTCGGTACTCTATATTTCAGTATTCGCGATTACACGGCGTGTTACTGGGGATGGTTAGCTCCACCAGTGCCAGTCGCGCGATTTTTTGAATTTCGTTTTTCTTTCAAAACAGTTTTCCGCTAGTATGCCTTGGAGGGGGACGCGTGGTTCCACCCTCCGGTCTGGAAAAATATGGCGTGCATCTCGTTGCTTGCATGCTGACTTTCAGAGTGGCCAGTGAGGGCAGACGAGCGGAACAATTGTTGGTTTTACGTCTCTGCTCGATCCGCGTTCTTGCTACTGTTTCACTTGTCGTTCCATTTGGAGGTGCGCATATGCATGCAGCTGTGAGCTTGTCGAGGGCTGGAAATTTCTGAGCTTGTTATTACCACAGTCGCATGATCATGCATGCATGTATGTTGTGTTTGCGCGTACACAACTATCTGCGTATATGCTTGCGTTATATATATATATATATATATATATATATATATATATATATACCTATAAATAACATAGACATAGGCATAGACACAGACATAGACATAGACATAGACATATACATATACATATATGCATACACATGTGTGTATGTGTATGATAACATAAGTGAATACCGCCCCCCCCGGCCTTGGGTCCCACACCTTCCCGTGACATCTCGGGGACGCTCCCGGTACGGCTCCCCTGGCCTTTCCGGGGAGCCTCCACAGCGCCCCAGGAGGAGGGCCCAAGACGCCTCCCAGGAGCCCCCCAGAGTGCAAAAGCATGGTCCACGACGCTCCCAAGCAGCCCAAATCAGCCTTCCGACGGCTCTCGAGGCTCCCAGGTGGCTTCCAAGAGACCCCAAGAGAGGTCCGAGAGGCGTCCGAGGACGGCCCGAAGAGGCCAACATCGTTGATTATCATTTGTGTTGTTTTAAATGTTTTTGGCTTCTCGCGTTTTCGAGCTTCCAATGGTCCAAGACCGCCGAAGAGCCGCCCAAGACCGCCCAGAGACCATCCGTAGCCATTTTGGCTCAAGCCACTTCAGGCCAAGGCAGGCAAGGTAGCACGTGCTTCATCGCGCTTCGGAGTCGTGGAGAAGATGGCCACGTCGCCAGAGGCAGAGCCGCCCGTAGCCTCCCCCGGCGACGACAGGATCGAGCAGCTAGGCTTCGAGATCGACGACGACAGCGGCAAGGCCCACTACGTGATCGTCTTCCCGTTCGAGGACAACGGCGACAGCCCGCCCGTGAACCCACTAGATACCTGGAAGGGCATCTTTGTCGGCGCCGCCTCGTCGTCTCCGCCGGGCATAACACCCTTTGTCATGTGGCACAATGTTCCAGGGGCGAGGTGGCTTGAGTTGCCGATCCAGCCGTGGATGGGTGTGAAAATACACCCATCCTCGTTGAGCGTTTCCGCCACAGTCCTAGTGAGGGGGGCGAAAATCATGTTCCCAGAAACCTCTCTGGGAACATGAATTTGCTTCCGATCTTTGGTCGGAAATCATGTTCCCAGAAGCCTCTCTGGGAACATGATTTTGCTTCCGATCTTTGGTCGGCCCTGACCTGGTGATCCATTCATGTGGTGGCCACTTGGGCTCAAGCCACTCTCGTCACACCTCTTCACTTTTCGCATCCTCCAGCTTCCCACAATGGCTGCCAGCTGGACGGCGGACGAGTGGCGCGCGTTCCTGCAGTCAGTGGATGAGCAGGCAGCGGCGCCAGAGGTGGTGACGGAGGTGGTGACGTTCTTGATGGCTGTCTCCCCCGCGATACCCTCGAGCTGTGCGTTGGAAGGGATCACCGAATCGGAGCTGATTGCGGCTGACGGTGCACCGACGGGCATCGCCTCACGGGGCCTCCTGCGCAGGGCGCTTCGGACGGCGGAGTGCGTCGCCCAGGCGAAGCGCCAGACGGCTGCGGGTGCGAACGCTGCCCCGCAAGCTGCGGCCGGAGCCGCTGGTGGTGCCGCTGGGCCCCCGCCTGGGGGGAGCGCCCTGGCCTTGGCCTCCCAGTGGCAGCCTCCCGCGGCGCCGACTGTGGATGTGCGGGACCTGTTGACGAAGGCTAAGCTGGAGAAACTCCCGTTCCACATGCAGCCCGAGCAGGCGGTGTTCGAGTCTCTGAACAAGGACACGATGGCGGCGCGCGCCCAGGAACGCAAGCCGTTCGCGTACGTGGACCTCACGTCGAAGGAGGTACTTCCTCTGTGGCTGCCCATCGAGTCGATCGGCGGCAAGCTAGCGCTCGCTGGGGAGAACGAGTTGCTCAACGCCGAGAGCTCGACGGCCACGTTGTCGCAGCTCCAGAACGCATTGAAATCGGCTACGTCAAGTCCGCGATTTTTTCCGCACGCTGGGACAATGGTCATCGGCATCCCTGCGGCATGGCATCGTCGCGGTGGCCACGGAACAGCTCACGCTCGCGCAGATGATTTGCCACCACGACCTGATCATGCAGCTCGCGGAGTCCGAGCGGGCAGCGGGCTCCCCCCCCTTGCTCGCGGTCATCTACGACGAGATGGCGAGGAAGGCCTGGTCCAGTCGAGCTGCACGCAAGGACCCGGAGTTTGTCCTCGATGACCTTGTCCAGGTCCAGGACAAGCCCGTCCTGACAGCCGCGCGCGGCAGGCTGGCGAGCGTGCTTCGGACGGCGGGGATCCAGGACAGCGACAGCGCGAGGCCAAGGGCGGACGCCGCGACAGAGCGGGAGCCCATCTTGGCCAAGCAGCAGGCGGCGATTGACGCCCTGACGAAGCGGGCCAATGACGCGTCCAAGCAGACGGCGCAGCAGCAGGAGGCTTTTCGCCAGGGGGCTTTTCGGAACTCGGGAGGGCCAGAGTCCGCGGGTCAGCCAGGCCCGAAGCGCCCGGCAGGCGGCGCGATGCAGACCCCGCGCCAGATCAAGAAGCAGAAGTTCTTCGAGCGGGTCCAGAACTACAAGCGCGAGCAGCAGCAGGCGCGGCGCTGAGCCTGGCGCGCCCGCGCACTGCTCACCTTTTCAGGAGCCTTTCGTCCATCGCGGGGGAGGGGCGCCCAAAGGGTTGCACCCACTGGAGCATGTGCAATGGGCCCGTTCGGTGGACCATCCGATGTTCGGGTGCCCCGAGTTGGAAGGGGACTTGCAGGCTGCTTTGAGTTGGGTTGCTGAAAACACTCCCCACGTGGTTGATGAATTCCGAAGGTCTGGGCTAAGGCAGTTTTTGGCGCTTGCTGGGAGTCTCGAGAGGGAGCGGGAGGAGTGGGTCCGTCGGGCGCCACCCCAGAGTAGAGCCCTGGTAGGTTTGCTGCATGGGCCGCTCTTTTTGTGCTTGGGGAAGATCCTTCAATGGCCCGATGCGTCCCTCTCCAGTCACCTGCATGGGTTCCCCCTGTCAGGTGTGCTTCCTCCCGCAATTTACTCCTCTCAGCCGGTGAGGAAGCCCCAGAAGGCCCTGCCGCTAGATGAGCTGGTTGGCGCTATCCCGATCTGGAATCGGGAGGTGCTGAGCCACCTCAAAGACCTACCATGCTCCCAGGACGTAGGCCCTGACGTTGATAAGGACGTGGCGCTTGGGGCCATGCCCCCACCCGTCCGTCTCACCCCATTCCACGTCGACAATTTTTTGCTGATGCGCCGCGCCCCCGTCCGCGAGCAGCGCCCGTCGGGGTGGGAGACGCGGATTGCGGACCATGGCACGGAGTGCGGGCTTAATGGCCACACCCTGTTGTCCGACACGTTGTCGCACGATACGGTTGACGTGCTCGTTGAAATCGAACTCCAACTCATGCGCGCAGGCGCTCGGGACGCTTTTTAAGTGGAAAAGGGACGTGCGGAGAGCTTTTAAGCGCGTGCCTGTCATGTCTGCTCATGCCTGCCTTAACGGCTCGGTTTGGCAGCATGGCGAGGACGTATTTTTCTTACAGCATCTTGGCATGCCTTTCGGGACGACCAGTGCCGGGTTGGCCAATCTTTGGATGGCGACCTGCCGACGCTTGCTCCGGGTGACTGGGGGGAGGTATGTTGATGATGTTTTTGGGGCGGACCCCGCGGGCTGTGCAGTCACTGGGGGCTTTTGCGTAGAAGTCGTAAGTCGCGTGCTGGGGCTAACCCTGGATGCAGGTAAGGCTGAGGACACGCTGCAAGGTCTCATTGTGCTGGGGGCGCTTGTGCGGGACTCCCCTTTAGACGGGCGGGTGTCCGTTCAAGTCACGCCAGAGAAGGCGGCGCTTTGGTCCTCCCTCCTCTCTGCCTACCTCGATGCAGGCCGTTGCAGTGCCAGTGAGAGCGGCAAGATGGCTGGTCGGCTCAGTTTTGCTGTCGCGCTGGCCGCCGATCGAGTCGGCAGGGCATTTATCGGCCCTTTTATGCCCAGCAGCACGATCCGATGCCCCAGTCAGGTCTGTCACGCCGGTGGCGGTGGGCCGCCTCGCGGTGGCTGCAGCGCCTGCAGTCTCGCCCCCCCGCGATGCGATCGGCACAGGATCGGTCGCTCGCGGCGGTGTGCTGCTTCAGGGGGCAGTTTCTGCACACCCATGCTCGAGTCCCTGAGTCTGTCTGGGCCCAGCTGCTCCCGCGGGGGGACCACCAGATCGGATTTCAAGAGATGCTCTCGGTGGTGTTGGGCCTGTTCACGTTTAGAGCCCAGCTTCGCGACAGTTTGACGTTGCTCTTTAGAGATAATGATGGGGCGCGGGAGGCCTTGATGCGGGGGTCCGCGGGGGCCCCCGAGGTCAATGCGCTGGTTGGGCGGGCTTGGCTTTGGTGCGCCGAGTGGCGCGTGGGCGTTTATTCGGTCAGAGTTGAGAGCAAGGCGAACGTCGCTGACGGGCCCTCCCGTGGTGACTGTTCGTTGTGGCATCGGCTGCAGGCCAGTTTTGTGCCCCCTGAATTCCCCGCGTGGTCCCATCAGCTATGGACTGGCTGCTAGCTTGGATTACGGTCACTTGCCGGAGAAAAAATGATGCGTCTCCGTTGTTGTGCAATGAGCTGCGAGGGTCTCGATTGGAAAAAAGTGAGGGCCTCGAGTGACATTGCGCTGCTGTGCTCTGCTTCCCCGCATCGGCCCGGCTCGAGTCCTTCCTCGTCGGGCGGCGGCCGGCTGCGAGCGGGGCCCAGGATGCCTCCTGACAGCCAGGCAGGGCCCCCGGGGGCGCAGGCCGAGGCATTGACCAAGATCCGCGACAGCCTAGTGGAGGCTTTCGTGGAAGGGGACCCCTTGCACCGCATTCCAGGACTTCTCAAGCGTCTCAAGGGGCTGCCGCTGATGCCGGAGGAGTTGCTGCAAAAAGGGTTGGGCGTGCTCCTGAACGACTCGGATTTCAAGAGGCGCCTGGACGTGTCCTCCCTCACTATCGTGAATGTCTTGCTGGAGGGGTGGCGGTCACAGGCTCGCTCGTGCCGCTCTGGGTCTCTCCGAGGTCGCGTCCACCAGCCGTTCGCGGGCCTCGCCGGGTCACGCTTCCAGCAGGCAGTTCTGGATCTGGAGTCCTGGTTTGTGCAACTTGACGGTCTCGGGGCCGCGGAGGTCCCGGTGGCGGACAGACAGAAGTATAGGAAGACGGCAATTCTTCTGTCTCTGTTGCGCGTGGTTTCGCGGCAGCACTTGGACGGCGTCGACCCCGAGGACATTGCCCGTTCCGGCAGGGACCCCTTCGAGCGCGGCCTGCTTCGACGCGCCGCCATGGAGGCAAGCGCGAAGGGGAGGCAGAAACGAGCTCGGATCGAGAGGGCCACGCCAGTGCCCACGTCTTGTCTGCCTGATTCGACAGTGTCGTCGCGCTCTTCCGTTTGTCCGCCGTTCTCGGCAACGTGCGCTTCGGCCGACGCGGTGGTTTCCCGCCTCTCCGAGCAGCACGTGAACGCGGTGGAGAAGGAGGTGCAGGCCTTCGGTGGACAGATAGGCTTAGCGGCACTCGGTTCGTCCCAGCCGAGGGCCATCATCACGCAGTTGGGGGCTGCTTCTGTGCGGTCGCAGGGCGTGACTACTGATGTGTTGAGGGCTAGAGGACAGATCATGCGCGCGGAGACGAATCGGCGGAGCCTCACCTCAGGGGCATCTGCGCTCCGAGCGTGGCACGTTTTTGCTGTCAGTGTGCTCAAGTATGATAGCGAGGACACCCTTCCACCGAAGTGCGAGGACCATGTATTGCTGTTTCTGGCCATCTTCCAGAATGCAGGAACGGCTCGCAACTATTTGCACTTCCTGCATTGGGCGTGCGTGGAGCAAGGCGTGGACGTGTCCTGGCACGGCCCGCGCGCAGTGCAGCAGGTGAAGGGTTTGGCTAAGATGCAGATCAGATTGAATGGGGAACAACGGCCGAAGCCGAAGTTGCGCCGCAGTTTGGTTGAGCAGTTGTGCGCGCTCTCTGCGTCGCTAGGGGATGAGAGTTTTGCCGTGTCAATGCTTCTGGCATGGGAGTTTCTCCTGCGCGTGCAGAGTGAATGCGTGTGCTTGCAGGTAGGGTCAGCAGGCTCTGTTCTGACTTTGCCGGCTGGGCGGCACAGTTCAGTCTTGTTTGACGAAGCCAACGTCCTGCACATGCGGCTGCGCCGGAGGAAACACCGGGCATCCGGCTCCACGCTTCGCCGGCCGTGCTCGTGCGCCCATGGGGTATCGTGGTGCGCACCGTGCAGATGTCGCAACTGGCTCCAAGCTTCGAGAGCAGTGGAAGGCCAGCAAATTCAGCATCGTAGTGCTGGAGCTTTTCTGGGGAGTTTTAGGAGGCTGCTTGGGGTCCTAGGGGTAGCTCAGCCCTCGAGCTTCTCTCTCAAGGCCTTCCGCGCGGGGCACGCCACCGAGCTGGTGGCCCGGGGAGCGTCGTGGCCCCAGCTCCTCGAGGCTGGAGAATGGAGGGGGAGTGCCGCTTTGAAGTATGTCGAGGCTGGAGCTGTAGACACGGCCGCGTTCGCGGCCCGTGTCAGTGACGCCAGCTCCGATGAGGACTGCTGAATGGAGTCTCTCTCTCTCTCTCTCTCTCTCTCTCTCTTTCTCTCTCTCTCTCTCTCTCTCTCTCTCTCTCTCTCTCTCTCTCTCTCTCTCTCTCTCTCTCCCACTCTGTTTCCCCAGAGTAAATGATTGAGTGAAGCGGCGTTGGGAGTTCTGGGCTGCGTTGGGTGGGTTGTTTTTCGGTGCGGCGGGGTTGGGGGGAACTGCCCTGGGGCCCCCCCTCGCCTCTCCTCTGTCGTCCACTGCGCGGGGGGGCGATGAGGGAGGGCGGCGAGGTGGGCGGCCTGGCTGGGCGTTTCCACCTACCCACGTCTGCCGAAGGCGGCCTACCCAAGGTAGGTGTCTGGTTTCTCCCAATGCGACGAGACCCTTCGAAAAATTGTGCGGGCATAACAACCTTTGTCATGCGGCACAATGTTCCCGGGGCGAGGTGGCTTGAGTTGCCGATCCAGCCGTGGATGGGTGTGAAAATGCACCCATCATCGTTGAGCGTTTCCGCCACAGTCCTAGTGAGGGGGGCGAAAATCATGTTCCCAGAAGCCTCTTTGGGAACATGAATTTGCTTCCGATCTTTGTTCGGAAATCATGTTCCCAGAAGCCTCTCTGGGAACATGATTTTGCTTCCGATCTTTGGTCGGCCCTGACCTGGTGATCCATTCATGTGGTGGCCACTTGGGCTCAAGCCACTCTCGTCGCACCTCTTCACTTTCCCTCCCTCCCAAACCCTGGGGGCGAGAGAGGTGCGTCTGCATTTGTGCGGGTGGGTTGTTTTTTGGTGCGGCGGGGTTGGGGGGAATTGCCCTGGGCCCCCCCTCGCCTCTCCACTGTCGTCCACTGCACGGGGGGGCGATGAGGGGGGGCGGCGAGGTGGGCGGCCTGGCTGGGCGTTTCCACCTACCCACGTCTGCCGAAGGCGGCCTGCCCAAGGTAGGTGTCTGGTTTCTCTCAATGCGACGAGACCTTGTAAAAATTGTGCGGATAACTTGAAGTCCTTGAAGGCGAAGACGAAGTTCCTCGACGCCGCCAGAGCGAAAATCATGGCCCGCTCTCGAACGATAATCGCTGGGGCGTTGAAGGCCGCGCGGGTTCTCCGAAACCGCCCGGGCTCAAGCCTTTTCTGTGGGGGCCTCAGGTGGCCGTGCCCCCTTCGGGCCCCGCATGCGCGCTGCGGCCCGCGGGGGAGGGCTGATCGCTTTCCACCTCCTCGCCGCCTGGGTGGCGCGGCGGTGGGCGCCGCTGCCTGCGGCGCCGCCTGTGCCGGAGCCGCCGCGGGCGGCACCGGCGCCCGCTCCGCCCGCGCGGAGCTGCCCGGCGGCCGCGCCGCCTGCCTCCGCGCAGGTCTCGGACCTCTGCGCGGAGATCGCCCGGTGCCTGCCGGCGGCGCCGCTCCCGTCCTGGGAGTTCTGCCCAGATCCCTGCCCGGCCCGCCCCAAGCCGGAGGAGGGTGGCTTCAAGTGGGGCATCGAGCTCGGCGTCGGGTTCTTCACCCTCCTGATCTGGGAAGCCGTCGCTACTTGCTGGGCTGTGCTGCGCAGCCAGGTGCGGCGCCTGCTCTCAGGCGCGCGGGCGGCTGGGCCCCCGGCGGCGCCCGCGGCTCTGGAGGACGGCAGCCCGTCCGCCCAGGTTGATCGGCACTTCCCAGGTGGCAAGGGAAGGCTGGTGGCTGCCTGATGAATGTCGGCGATGAGCTGCTGGTCTGCTATGACGTTCCTGGCGCTCCTCTGCTCCATCGCCGCCTCGTTGTCCGCGTCAGCCAGGTGCAGCCGCTGCGCGCCGCCGTGGTTTCGCCCGACTTCGACCTGTTCATCGAGCACTTCACGGACGACAGCGACGACATCGCCGCCTGGTATCGATGCGGACCCGGCGGGGCAGTGCCCGCTGGACTGGGCGGGGTGGCGCTATGCGACTTCCAGCGGCCGCTCACGGCCCAGGAGTTCTTCAACCTCGTCCCGAGGGCCGAGGGCCTCGTCCACGAGCGCGACGGGCAGCTCGCCGCCGCGGCCGGACCAGGCGCCGCCGGCGCCCTCGGAGCAGTGGTCCCGCTTGTGCTCCCGGCCGCGGGCCAGGCCGCCGCGCCCCCGGCTGGCGGCGGCGCGCCCGCGCTGGGAGTCGGCGCTGGAGCGGCTGGCGGCCTGGCTGCGCTCCTGGGCGCCCGCCTCCCCGGCGGTGGTGGTGCGCACGTCCTGCCTGCGGCTGCCGGCGCGCCCGCCCCCGGAGCGGCCGCGCTGGCCGCCCCCCCGCCGGCTGCAGCTTCCGCCGCCTCCGCCGGCGCGGCGCCGGCGGCCGGAGCCGCCGGACACGCCGGGCACGCTGCCCCTGGGGTCCATCACGTATAAAAAATTGTCCGTTACGGACAGTTTTTGCACGTGATATTTCACGTGCAGTTATGGGTTCCACGATGTACGTTGAAGTTGTGGTCGTTGGAGCGCGCAGACGCTTCATGAGTGTATCGTTCGGGTTTTCCGCGCTCAGTGCCGTTGAGCATTCGCCCCAGGCGTTGCCCAACAAATTGTTTGAGCCAAAATGGCGACGGAGGAAGAGGATAAGGAAGAGGAGGCAGCGGCGGAGGAGGAGGAGGAAGAAGGAGGAGGAGGGGGAGGGGGGGAACGCCCCCCCCGCCCTCCCCCCCCCTGCCCCGCGGCCGCGGGTGGCGCCTTGACCTCGACGTCCAAGCGGGCGGCCGCGCGCTCGCCGCTCGCCCGCTCCTCTTCCTCTTCTCCCTTCTTTTATCCGCAACATGTTCCAATGTTGTTTCTCATCCTCAAAGCCCCTCTCCTCCTCCCCCTCCTCCCCTCATCCGCTTCCCTTTCCTCCTCATCCTCCTCCTGCTCCTCCTCCCCCTGGCCACCCCTCCCTCCTCCCCCTCTTCCTTCTCCTCCGCCTCCCCCTCCTCATCCTTCCCCGCCCCCCTCCCCCCTCCCCCCCTCCTCTTCCCCCATCCTCCTCCTCCCCGTCCTCCTCCTCCTCCGCCTGTTCCCCCTGTTCGCCCAGCCCCTCCTCCACCTGCTCCTCCTGCTTATGCTGCTCCTCCTGCTCCTTCGGCCCCTCTTGGTCCTTTCTCGGATTTCGGCTCGATCGATTGCCCTGGTTTCTCTGATTTCGTTTTCACTGGTTGTCTTGCTTCATCGGATCTCGACGTCGCTGGTTTTCCTGGTTCCTCGGATCTCGACTTTGCTGGTTCCCCTGGTTCCTCGATCTCGACTCTGCTGGTTTTCCTGTTCCTCGGATCTCGACTTTGCTGGTTTCCTATTTCCTCGGATCTCGACTTTGCTGATTTGCACGGTTACTCGGAAGGGGGAGGAGGCGGATGGGGGAGGAAGAGACGGTGGGGATCTGTTTACATGTGTGCTAATTTGTCCGACACCTCTTCCCACGCAAATAGCAAATTGTTGTTATGCGTGTTTTGCGTGATGTTTGTGGGGTTACTTTTTACACAAGGAAAGGCATCGACAGTAACACGCACTCCTCGAACGTCACCTGGGACTGCTCGCGACATGCACCTTTCAAAACTCTATTGAGCCCCTCGTCTGTCCAATTTGCGTAGAACCGTGGGTTCCCCAAGAACGCAGCCCGCTGAAGCATGTGCCACAGGATGTGGCGCTTTGGCGTAAGCAATCGCTCACAATGACGGGTGAGAGAACAAAACCGTTTCCAGTGTTCCAAGCACTCATCTATGTCGGAGTCACAGAATTTCCAGCCGATATTATCCATGCGGTAGCACAGTTTGATCATGCATTCCGCGGCCTCGAAAAGTCGAACCGATTCGCGCTGCAAGCGGCCTTGAATCTTCCAACGACGGTTGAACATGTGGACTAGAAATAACAGGAAGCCCCATGTTTCAGCGCCTTTCGTCCTCAACTTCCTGTCTGAATTTGTGCCAAACAACTTGGCACTCATGGCGTGGATTTCCGTCAGAGTCGAATTCAAACCTGTTTCTTTCCATTCGGTGTAGAACCCATGAAGTTCGTGCTTCATCGCAATGGCAGCGACCTCGAGATTGTGCTCCACTGTCCCTGCCGTGCCCCACAGGCCAGCGTCAATCGTTGCCCACGCGAGCTCCCTACACAGATCCTTCATGCAGCCGAGGTATAGCGCGTGAAGCGAATCGATGCAAGTATGCGTGCACGGGTCGACGCCAAATTCGATATCATATATTGGGTTTCTATGCCGAGCAATTGTTTCAGCAGACGGTCTCCAAATAAGAATTGGGCATGGAAACTGCGTGATTCTGAATATTGCTGACACATCTGGCATCCACTTTGTTGGCTCCACCCTGTCCCCCTGCTGGAGACCGAGGGCGGGCAAAGCAACCTTAAGGGCTAGACCCTTTGACGAACTGCTTCCAGATCTTTTGTCGTAGAACAACACGTCGCACAGGGCCTTGTGTGTGTCATGCGACAGAACAACAACATGCTCGCACATCTGACAGGCCCAATCGTAATCACCGACAACGTTCTCTCTGAAAGGAGACCCAGTTAAACTCCAGCCAACATCGAGATACAAGTTGTCGCCAAACCCATTGCATTGGAAGCACGGCCTCAAACTGTCACCCCATGAGGGCCACCCAAACGTCGTTGATAATTCAGCCCAGTCGGCCTTGTTATAGATGAGCACACCTCTTGCGCGCATCAATTTGCCAGCCAACGTCTTCCTGTATGAATCGTCATCTTGAAATTCCGATCCGTCGTGGCGCTCAATTGGGAAGGACCCTTTACACAAGCTGCGTAGGCTCCATGCTATGAAAGAAAAATATTGAAATATGTGCACCAGCCCCTGCAGCCGCAATGACACGCAAGCTTCTTGCGTACTAACGCGAATAACACTCGAGATTGCGTGACCATGTTCACTAACCAAAAACCGACTGCTGTGTCGGTTTGGCTGTACGGGACACCATCAGTGAACAACCCCAGCGGTATGATTGGCGAGTCTGGCCCCAGATGTTCTTGGACAACTGGGTTCTCGAAGAAACACGGTGGCATTTCCATCGAGTCGATCGCATCTTGAACGTCAGCAATGATACTTGGGTCATCTTCCAAACTCTCTGCAACCAGCTCGTGTGGCACCATGCAAGTGAATGTGTGTTCATCGCGCCCCAGCCTGGCCTTGGAGTAAGACGGGGCGGTGAATCTGTAAAGCTTTTTTGTTCTGTCTGGAGCATATGCTGGCAGCTTTCGTTTGACAAGCCTGGAAAAATGCCCAGACGGGGCGTGTGGGTCCACGCTGTATGCGTCGGCATCCGCAATGCCAGCGCGCGATGCGTAGTACATGACCGTGCAGAATTTCTTTGCATTGATAGACCGACTGAGGAGCAGACAAATCATATAATCAATGAACTCTTG